AAAAAAAAACACCCCAAAAACAAACAACAACAACAAAACAACCAACAACCCCAAAACAACAAACAAATAAAAAAAACCAAAACACATTGTTAGATGTCTTCTTTTTCTACTTCAGGTTGTTCTGATGATGCTTTCAAGTGCGACAATGGTCACTGCATCCTGCCACAGTGGCGCTGCGACCAGGACCAGGATTGTTCCGATGGCTCGGACGAGGCCAACTGTACAGGTGAGCTGTGTCTTCGAACTTTGTTCTTCTGCCTGCTTTCTTATGTTGCTTGTTTCCTTTCTAGACGGCTGTCTTTCATTCTTCTTTTTATTTATTTCCTATGGCCAAGTTTCCTACCTAGGAAATGATGCTCACGTCTTGGGGGGGCCACTAGACATATTCCTCTCCACACTAGTACTCCTATGGCTTGGGCACATTGTGAAAGTGTTGTTGGTTATGTGACTCACTGCTCTATTGATGTCTCTGTTCTCATAGACATCACCAGCTTTGGTGGTGCAACGCTCTTCACTGTTGCATTTAGAAGATGATAGTTTGATTTCCTTTTAAGGGTAAGATTTTTTTGGGTATCATCTGTCCACTTGGACATTGTATTCCTCTAAGCCCTAGCTAGCCCTGATTGGCAAGGTCTAAGGAGTCCGCCTACTTAATGATCCAAATTGGGTCAATGGGGTTAGACACATTCGCAATTTTCATTTGTTCCCTCAGGTATCATGTGTGAGAAAGGACAACACGAATGCCACAACGGCTGTATCCCCCAGTCCTGGGTCTGTGACGGCCATGTCGACTGCCACGATAATTCTGATGAAGATGAGGATCTCTGCAGTAAGTGGAAGAACATCAATATTTTTGTTTACCCCTTGACCAGCCTAATGCCCGACAGGTATGTCACAGCTGTGCCTATTATCTCCTGCACTGACATACGGGTACATCACAAAAGTACAGCTGAAAAAAAAAAAGTACTTTCAACGGAAGAAAAACCTGACTTATTGAAAGGGTTCAATCAATGAAATAAATTGTTCCCCAGGGGAATTGGCTGTCAGGAGCAGGATTTGAATACTAATTTTGTTAATGATAAATTGAAGTAGGGTTAGATTTTTTTCTCTTCTTTTTTTTCCCTCTAGTTCATCTTTAAATGGACATCCCAGTCTCTAGTGCAAAGACTGCTGTTCGCTGCAGGTCCTCTAGGCCCCCATAGAATTTTTGGGTCTCTCTGCCTAGAGTTGGGCCAATATTTCTTATTAAGTGCCTCAGATTAATTTTCTATACTAAAGAGTTTCAAGAGTCTTCTTAACCTCTATAATGCCCTTTTTTAAAAACTTTGACCTCACGCCCACCTCATGTGATTTTTTTTCATACATAAGTCACACACCTCATGTGATTTTTTTTCATACATAAGTCACACTGTTGTCTCTCAAAGAATCTTCCAACAAGAAAAATAAAACCCAATTCTGTGACAATTGCCAAACACAACCTTAAAGTCCTAACAGAGGTGAAAGGGAAAAAGGTATCAAAATGAACTTCACCAACTCATTATTGTTGGAATTTGTGAAGTTTTACTCTCAGGAAATGCCAAATAGACAGCTGGATATGACTTCAAACCTTGAAGTATAGTGCTGGGTACTTCTTTGTATGAGACGGTTCTCCTTTTTTATATAGATGAAATTGTCCAAGATGACCACTCTCTGTTGAGGAGAAAAGTGGTTTCCTTTAGACAGGTGGGTGTCTTGGACAGTGTCATTATGATAGGCCTATTGAAAGCACTCAAGGAGGGAAAGTTGGAAGTGGTCAGTTGTACAGGTAATTATCTCGGATAGGTTGCCGAGAGAGCAGGTTGGACTGAAAATGTTTATATTTATGTGTTTGTGTGTGTGTTTGTGTTCCCCCTCAGAACAACACACGTGTTCGGAGGCCCAGTTCCGATGTTCCACGGGTCGCTGTATCCCACTTGAGTGGCTCTGTGATGGAGACAGTGACTGCCCTGGATCGGAGGATGAACAAGAAGGCAACGCAACACACTGTGGTCAGTTTGTGCTCTATGTTTTACAGCTTCTACTAAGCTGTTTAGGTCCTACTGGAGGAGTGTGGTATCAGCTACCTTGGGGGCTGACATTTTTTGTCTCTTGTTCTTTTTTGAGCATTTTGTAGCAAAAGAAGCTTGTATTTGCTTTATATCTGTGACATTGAAAGTGTTTTTAAAAAAATTTCATGTAGTGGATTTGAGAGCAGTTTAATTTAACAATGTTTATGTGTTGTGAGTGACCATCATAAAAAAAAGAGTATTTTATGAATAAGCCAGATTTTCCCTAGTCTGCTCAGAAGAGTTTTGCTGACTTGTTTTGTCATTGTATGTGTACGCTATAAGAAAAAGTTCATGTGTGCCTCCTGTTCCCCAGAAGGTTCTCTCACCTTCATATTATAACTGATGAGAAATGTGTGTGTGTGTGTGTGTGTGTGTGTGTCTGTGTGTGTGTCTGTCTGTCTGTCTGTCTGTCTGTCTGTCTGTCTGTCTGTCTGTCTGTCTGTGTCTGTGTCTGTTGTGTCTCTATATGTGTGTGATTATGTTTGTGTGTCTGTTGTATATGTGTGCATTTTTGTGTGTGTGTGTGTTTATGTGTGTGTGTGTGTAGGTATATGATAATACTTGTAAGTGTTTGCTTATGTTTTGAGCCTTAACCAAAGCCATGGCCCATCATAAAGTGTGTGTGTATATATATATATATATATATATATATATATATATATATATATATATATGTGTATTCACCTCTGTGTTCTCCACATTGTGTGTATATATGTGTGTATTACCCTGTTTTCCTCAGCCCCAGTCAAATGTAACCCAGACCAGTTCATGTGTCTGAACCGGCGTTGTATCCTGTCCGAGTTTTACTGTGATGGAGAGAATGATTGTCACGACAACTCAGACGAGCCAGATACTTGTGGTACGTTGAAGAGCATTTCAATACCTTAGAATTACAAAATTCATTCTGCTCAGTACCTAGTTTTGAGGAATTTGACCTAAAAAACTTTGAGTTTCCCATGTCAAGCTTTTTCAAATGCAATTTTTTAAATATCTTGATAACGACTCTGAATAATCTTATGGTTTTGATAGACAGAACATTGTGGTTCTGACCTCATGGTCTTAGTTACCCAAAATGGCCAAAAATGTCAGATTGAACTTTTAAATTCTAAAGTAGCGATTTGTATCACGATGCCAGTGGAATCAGGCGCTGGTCAATTTTTTGCATGGGGTGTTATTGGTATCATCTTAAAGCTTGTTCATTTGTTTTGCTTTCGATTTAAAAAAGATACCAATCTATCTTGAATAGAAGTCGAGATTTTTGTGATTGGAGTTGGAAAGTAGAAATTTACATTTTTTATATGCCTATGATAAACAGTTTTTAGTAAAGCCGTCACAGAAATGTTTTTCAATGGACGTAAAAGTTGTTCAGCCAACAAACAAAAATTCGAGAAGCTTGCAGAAAAATACTATTTTCTTCGATTTCATTATTTTGACAAGGGCCTGATTTTATCATGATGCCTCACATTTGTACACTCACATGTCATATGTATTGTGTCACCTTTTTGCTGTCTCATGGATCACTCAAGTTATCTCCTACCACCTAATTAGTGTCATTGCCTCTGCCCACCTAGTCAAATTTATTATGTACCATTCCTTTAATGCTGCTTTGGTTCGCTGCATGGACGGGTCAGATTTTGGAAATGTTCCCCAATTTCTCCATAATATGGTTTTTGAGCTGCTGTTTTAGATTTTGTTATTATTTGATCAAATTTTGATTAAAGTTTGAAAATTTAATTGTAGTTGTACGTAAAATTAATCTATTTCTTGTGATCAGTGTATCAAGAGTGTGCTGAGGATGAATACCGATGTGGCAGCAAGAACAATTTCCACTGCATCGGTGCTTCGAAGCGCTGCGACGGCAAGATTGACTGCCGAGACCACTCAGACGAGAAAGACTGCCCCCGCCCTGGAGAGGCGGATGGGATCAAGAATACGTGCAAGGACCCATCCCAGTTCCAGTGTGACAACCTAATGTGTATTGATGAGAAGTTGGTGTGTAACGGGAGGAACGACTGCCAGGACAACTCGGATGAACCGTCCATCTGTGGTGAGTGGCTCCGGTGGAACATGCAGCACACTCAACTCCTCATGCGGAGCTCCCTCCTTCTATCTCCACAAAATTTTCTTAATCTTTATGAAAGGAGATGGAACCAGTACTGTCCGTTTTTTTCATTTCTTCATCACTTCTTCCTTCCTTCCTCCATCTGAGATTTTTTTGTTCTCTGAATTTTCATGGTTCTGTGATACTGGCGAGTGGAAATGCCTTTCCCAAGGACACAGCGTCGGGCCCTTGACAGGATTCGAACCCACGACATTACGGTTGTGAATCTGAGAGTCTTACTATAAGGCCTAACCAGCAGACCAATCTCAGTGAAGTTGACCATAGCCTATCGTCTCTCTGAGCTCGTGGGTGGTTGGAGGGTGCTTTGTGTTGTTTGCTCCTTTGTTTCCTATCAAACATTTGTCATCCTTGTCTCTCCTCCTTTTTTGTGTTTGTTACTCTCTTGAACACCTCAAATCATTTGCACTTATATAACCTTATTGTGTTGCAAGTGCCGTAAAACTCTTAAAATTGAACTGTCTGAGCTCCTATAATGCCTGTGTCACTGTGTGCAGGTCTGGATGAGTGCAAGTCCAAGAAGTGGCCGCTGTGTGGGCCGAGGGGCAAGTGTATTGACAAGAAGATTGGCTACGAGTGTGAGTGCTACCCTGGCTATCAGGTGGAGGCCCTGACCCCCAGCAGCAAGCCTGGCTCACACTATAGGAAGTCATGTGTTGGTGAGTTGTGTCTGTGAGGTGTTTGTTTGTGTGTGATGTGTGATGTGTGCTGTGTCTGTATGGTGTTTGTCTGTTGTGTGTGGTTTGTGTTGCTTCTGGGAGTTGTTTGTCAGTGTGTTGTGTGTATTTGTTCTGTGTCAGTGTGTTGTGTATATTTGTTCTGTGTCAGCGTGTTGTGCATGCTGTGTCTGAGGTGTTTGTCAGTGGGTTGTGTGTGCTCTGTTTGTAAGTTATATGTACTGTGTGTTGTTTTTCTTATGTTTGTCAGTTATTTGTCTGTGTGTTGTGTTTTGTCAGTTATTTGTCAACGTGTTGTTTGTGTTGTGTCTCTGAGTTGTGTGTGCTGTGTCTGTGATGTATTTGTCAGTATGTTGTGTGTGAGGTGTCAGTGAGGTGTTTGTTTGTGTGTTGTGTGTGTTGTATCACTTAGTTGTAGTGTGTCTGAGTTGTGTGTGCTGTATCTGTCAGTTGTTTGTCAGTTATGCGTTCGTCAGTTGTTTGTGCATGGTGTGTCTCTTTTGTTTTCTTAGTGAGTTGTGTACTGTAAGTAGGGAACTTGGGGTGAGTTGTTTTACTAGCCGTTTGCAAAATTCACTTTTGGTGCTCTGTCTTTTGCTCTGTCTTCAGTGAGTATTGAGTTGGTGAGATGATGTAATAATAGGATGTATGGATGGTTGTCAGGTGCTTTGGTGTGATTTCTTCCTTCTTTCCCATCGTCCTTATTTCTCCTCCTTCTTTTTTGTGTTTGTTACTATATTGTAACACCTCTAATCTTTGGCGCGGGTGGTTGGCGGGTGCTCTGGTGTGGTCTGCTTCTTCTTTGCTATCAAACATCTATTGTCAGTATCTCCCCTTCTTCTTTTTTATGTTTGTTACTCTCTTGTAACACCTCTAATCTTCTGGCGCTCACATGACCGTACGCAGTTGCGAGCGCCGTAAAACCTCTACTAAAACATAATCTTCGGCACTGATATGACCTAATTGTGTTGCAAGTGCCATAAAACACTTACTAAAACAAAATAATGGGATGCATTGATGATGATGAGAGGATGGCCTCACTTATTGAGTTGATAACTGGAAAAGAAAGGTAAACAATTTCTGTTGATTTAGTCGTGATTGGACACGCAAAGACACATCTTTCCTTTGTGGCTTTTGAAAATGTTATGAAAGTCCTTGTCTTTTTACTGATAATAATGTAACATGGTTTGAATTTGCTCAGAAGATAGATATATTTCTCTGATTTTCAATCCAGCTCGATGGGACTCATTATTTGAGCCCAAGTCCTGTTTTTAAGACTGACAACAGAAGATGTTTATCCTGCTTCTCATATTATTAATGTGAAGGTAGATATTTAAAATGAAATTGTTGCCTCTTTTATCGTTTATAAGTATATGAAACAATTGTTGCCTTTATAATTATTACTGTTTATAAGGATGTTAAGCCCAATTCGTACAATGTTATACCTTTGATGAGGTGTGTGAAAAATGGCGTAAAATCCCTGAATGTCACATGGGCACTTTCTGTTTCAGACGTGGACGAGTGCAGTGTCAGTTTTCCCTGCAGCCATTACTGTGACAACAAAGTGGGTTCCTTCTCCTGTAGGTGTGCTGAAGGCTACAGACTGCACTCGGATGGGAGGACTTGTGTTGTTACTGATGGTGAGTGAGAGAGAGAGAGAGAGAGAGAGAGAGAGAGAGAGAGAGAGAGAGAGAGTGTGTGTGTGTGTGTGTGTGTGTGTGTGCGCATGCGTGCGTGTGTGCGCTTGCGCGTGCGTGCATGTGCATGCATGTGTGTGGATATATCTGTACATTGTGTGTGTGTTCCTACCCTCAGTGGGTATTTTCTTTTGGTGTGTTTAAAAATTGTGTCGATGTGCTTCTCCTTACTTTAACAAACATAATATAGACCATGACTTAATGCAATGTTTTGCCTGGTGCAGGTATCCCGCCTCAGCTCCTGGTGTCGAACCGCTACCACCTGCGTCTTATCAACACCAACAAGCTCAACCAGATGTACACCCTGACCAGCAACCTGAGCAACTCTGTGGCTGTGGACTTTGACTGGCAGGAGCAGGTCGTCTTCTGGTCCGACATCACACGAGAGAAGAGCAGTATCTCCCGCATGGCCTATGACTTTAGGACACACAAGGCTGGGGTGAGTTGTTTGTGAAGATGGTGTTGTGGGGG